GAACAGGCTGGGGAGGGGTGTGATTTGAGAGATCTGGAAGCTGCTGTCAGTTCATCTGTCCTCCCTTGGGTGACTTTGGGCTAGTCACTTACTGTATTTTTACCTCAGTTTTTCATAATTTAAAAAATTAGAATAATTACTTCCCATTTCTACCTCACAAAGATGATGCCAGGACCTTGTCAGGCTTCTGTGATATGAAAATCTTTGGAAGTAATAGAGCTACGACCACAGAGTGGGGATTGTATCCTAGGAGTGCTAAGTAGCTGGAAATGAAACTGAGGACCTTTTAAAGCTCAGAGAGATTGTCCATAATTTTACTATATTTTCACCATGAAACCAGATAAAGCTCTCCCAAACAGAAAAAGCAAGGAGGAAGTCTTGAGGTCCTAAGGCTTATAGCCCCTTTTAGAGAGCACATATAATCCCTGTACATATTACGTGTACCTTTTGATAGGACTCCTCAAGAGGGGGTTAGGAGGCATGTTTGCTAATCTACCATCTTTTCCCCCCATGGGCCTGGGAATAGATTTCTTTGTTATCTTACTTCTGAACTTATGTTATTCATAACAATTTGTTGAGGAAGGTGGGCATGGAGGAGGAGCCTGGGGCTCAGGTTGGAAAGCAAACATATTTGCATTCATCCAGCCGGTCAGTCAGTATGCCTATATTCACTCCTATTTTAACTTTAAATGCCCTGGGCTTTCCACTGTGCTTTAGCTGTTTCTTGCCTGATGCATGGAACCCAACAGGTAGGAAGTTCAAACAAGATAATCTAACTGAAAAATGCTATTTAGACATACACAAGGATTCTTAAAAAATCAAAATGGAATATGCTTATTTTGAATACTACTAGCCCCTATTAGAAATAACGTTTCCAGTCTTGCTGAAGTTCTCATGCTATGTATTTACCCACATACCCAAAATAAGTAGAGTGGGGTTAAAGAAATCAAATTTTCCTGATGTCTTCCCCAGTATTCCTTGTAGCTGGAGTACAATGGGAAGAGACAGCAGTGGAGGGTTTTCAGGGAAAGATGTCTTTTCTCTCTGTTAAAATTTCTTTAAATTTATTTTATATTAGAGTTTCCATAGGGAGCTTGATAAAATGCTTTTTTCTGGTCCTTATGCCCCCAAATTGTTCAGTAAGTCTGGAGTGGGAGCATTATTACAGCACCTTCCCAAGTGATTCTCATGTATCTGGCCCAATGGATCACACCTTAGAAAATCCTGATCCTAAACAAATGTACGGGCTTTTGGCTATTGGAATCCCCTGTAATTAGAAACTGTTTGCCTGGGAGCCAAAAATTTAAGAAAACAAAAACAAAAACAAAAAACAAAACATTTGAAACCTATATAATATTATTAACTAAGTACTTTTGAGTTTTAGGAAAAAAAGGTAGGCAGCTTTGAAGCCTTCCTTCTCACAGTCAACAAGCCTCCAGCCTCTCTTCATTATTGTGCCTTCTAAGTGAGAACATGCTTTCTTCCTGCTAAAGTCATTGAAAACAATGACACAAGTAAAGAGCAGGGTGTTTAGCTATTAATTGGTTTACAATGAGATACCCTTAAGAGACAGCACGCTGTTGAGCTCTAGGCCTTGAGTTGTCAGGGTGAGGGCAGATATAACCAATTTGTCCTTTGTAAACACTGACTTTGGGGTGAGGGATTGCAGGTCCAGGCTAGCAGGCTCCTCGCTCCTCAGTTGGAGTTCTAAGGACCTCTGTATTCTTGGAGAGGAAGTGCCATAACTGATTGTGTTCTGCACAAGAAAGGAGTCCTGCACCATACCCACAGACGAACTTTTAGCTTTTTCTTGCTCATGAAAGCCAGCCCTAGTGCCCTGTAACAGTAGCACAGCTCTAACTTAAAAAACCTAGTCATTTGTTCAGAAGAGGCAAGGTTATAATTTTTCTATAGGAAGTGTTTTTTAACTCCAGAAAATGTCTAGTAAAGAAAATTTGAAAAATACTGAAATATGCAAATAATAAAAGTTAAAAATTGCCCATAATTACAATGCTCAAATACAATCACTATTAAGATTCTGGTGTGTTTCCTGTTAGCTTTTCTTTCTATGCATAGACTTATGATTTATTTCCACTGTTTATATAATAGTATGCATACATTTTGCATTTTGATTATTATTTTTTAATCCTTTCATCTTCACCTGAGGATTTTTTTTTAATTGATGAGAGAGAGAGAGAGGGAGAGAGAGAGAGAGAGAGGTTGGTTGCCTCCCATATGAGCTGTGATGGAGGATCAAACTCAAAACCTAGGTATGTGCCCTGACCAGGAATCAAACCCGCAAACTTTCAATGTACAGGAGGACACTCCAACCAACTGAGCAACTTGGCCAGGGCTTACTCTTTTTTAAAAAAATCATGTATTTAAAAATGTGCAATAATTCATTGAGAGAATGGACATTATATACATAGCTCAATATCTTGCACAAAGAGGACATTGAACAAATATTTGTTGAATGAATGAATGAATGAATGAATGAATTGATGAATTAATACTTTCCCTTACTATGTGACATTTACTTAAGGGCAATATTTTCAAAGGAAACTTAACACTATGTAATTAAGTGGTAGAAGAGGTGGGCCAAAGAAAAGGGAGGAGGGGGAACTGCTAACCTGACTGCTAAATAATTTTTTTTTGAGAATTCTGTACTCTATTTCCCCTTCTCTTTTTTTCCCCCCCAAAGAATATACTTTCGCTTTCCTGGAGCTCATTCATACTGTTAATGTTCCCATTTTACAGTTGAGGAAAACCAAGCCTTAGAGAGGTTAAATAATCTTCCTAAAATTATATAGCTAGTACATAGCAGAATTGATCTTACAATCCAGGTCTATGAGCATCCTTAACTTTGTTCCTTTGCTACATCACACTCCTTGCAGAAAAGACCAATGAAAAAGGATAGCTGTCATGAATTTGTACCCTGGGTAGAACTACTCTGGAATCAGAGAAACTTCAGTTACCGAAAGGCAACTGAGCAACCTGGCCAGGGATTATTATTTTTTATTTAATTATACATATAAAATAATTGTGCAATAATTCATTGAGAGAATAGCTCAATATCTTGCACAGAGAGGACAGATTGGATTGTAATGGGCAGATAGTCTTTATGCTTTCAGGAACCAAAACAACAACACGTTCAGCTGGGGGTAGGGGACTCTGAGGTTATTATGAAAAATGGTGATGAATAAGCTCATAGGAAGAGGTAAGATCAAGGCCGAGATTTAAATATCCAGAGCCTGAAACTGGACATTTCTAGATGTTGGCTTTGGCTGGCTTGGAAGACTAGATATTTGTACAGCAAAAATTGGTAAAAGAGAAGGCCTGGTGAATGTTTGTTGTCTTTGATTGCTTTTCGAAAACAGAGAAAATTGGAAATGATTTAGAAATTGATGCAATGGCATAGACGTAGCATGTTTCCCAGATAGGAAGAAAAACGCGTCAAAGCCCTTTAAACTATGACTATAGCTCTACTTTGCTAAGAATTGCATGGCAAAATGCAGGCGATTTTTCCATTTTATGCACCTCTTTTGCCACATAAATGCAAATATCAGTGGTTAGCAAAGGAAATGTAATAACTGTTCTCCCTGAAGGACCTGCGATTGCAGCCTTCACTCTTCAGGCCTGGGAGAGGGATTTTCAGATTTCTACATCTTCACTAGCATTTTGATAGACAGAATCCCATTTTCCCAGCAGAGCAAAACAAGGCACAGAGTCATGCCTGTACAACTGCCAATGGAGAATTGAAGGGAGAAATTAATTTGGGCCCCTGAACTTAAACAGAAAAAGTAATTTTTGTTTACAAGCTCTTCTTGCCCAATATGTTCCAACTCTGGCAGTTGCTTCTACCCCAGGATTTGGGGGTATGCCTGATTTAACACCATCAAATGCCTTAAACACGGAACCCATTATGGTATGTGCTCCAATGTGTACTTAAAATTTAAAAATGCAAAGCCATGAAAACAAGTGTAATGAAATCCAACAAAGTACCACTCCCCATTGAAATATCAAATCATTCCCCAAAATAAATGTTGGTGCCCCTCCTATGCCAGTGCCCTAAGCAAAAGAATAGATACTGATGTGTACCCCATATTTATACACAAGTTACACCGAGTTCTTTTATTTGGGAATCAATCTCCTCAAAACAAAAGTTTTCAGACAAGAAAGCGTCTCCTGCTTCCTGAGGGATCAACAGGACCGGACCGGGACGGTAAAATTACTCTCAGCTTTGGGGCCCCTTGGGGGACAAAATTCTTTTCTCTTACTCAGATTCTTGGTTTTTCTAGAACGGAGCAGTTCTGTAAAATCACACTTGGAGCTACTAGGCTAGGGCTGAGGTGATGCCTCCCCCAGGACAGGGAATTCCCCAAGGCTAAGAGGTGCCTCCCCTTCCGGTTCAGGGCTCCCAAAGTAGACTCCGTTTCCAGCGTGGATTGGACCTCCTGAGGGCTGAGATGATGTCTCCGCTAAAGCATAGGGTTTCTTAGGTCTGGGATACAGCCTAGCCCTCAGATCTGAGGCTCCCTGGGACAGGTGCACCATCTCGCCCTCAAATTCCAGCTTCTGGGGACAGGCCCGCTCTTAAGCGCCCTATTAAGGGTTTCTGGGGGCAGGGACCTCCCCTCCCTCTCATATTCGGGGCTCACCAGGACTGAGACGGCGTCTCCCCTCAGACTCTGGGACCTCTGGGGTAGGGGAAGGGTCCTGCCTTCAGTCAGAGCTTCCCCGGACAGGAGCCGTGTCGTGGCCTCGCTCCGCCTGGGGGAAGGGGCTGTGGGACCAGCGGCTTCCCCTCGGGCGGGGGTGGGGGTGGGTTCCCTGAGGCCCTGCCCCCTTCGTGACATGCCCGAGGTGTCCGGTGACCAAGACACTCTTAGCAGGGTGCAGGGTGCGGCTCAGGGCGTGGTCAGCGGGGGCTACTTAGGGCGGCCGGTGCGGGGGAAGGCGCGGAAGCTAGTTTCCAGGCTGCCAGGCACTCAGCGAGGGTCATGGCGTGGATTCTGGACTGCCTGTTTGCTTCGGCCTTTGAGCCCCGCCCCCGCCGTGGTGAGTTGGGACCACCGAGTCGGGAGGGCTGGAGTGCTTTGGCCGGGGCGGCTTGGGGCTGCAGCCCCAGCTCGGAGCCCCGGGGATTGGCTGGCCGCCCCTTGCCTCCCTTCCCCCTGGCTTTTAGCTGATTGTTTCTGGCTCAAGGAACTGCCCCGTCGAGGCCGGGCATAAATCACCAGCTTTGCCCGGAATACCTAGCAATCGCGCTAATGGCTCGGCAGGACAGGGGGCGAGCATGGGGGCGGAGCCTTTGGCTCAGCCTTCCTCTAGGACTGAGGGAGAGAGCTTTGAGGCCAGACCTGCAGGAGCGCCTTCCGCAACCCAAGGGCCCGAAAGGCCCAAGGATGAATGTTCCTGGCAGGGCACACAGGACCCAGGGGACCGTAAGATGAGGGGGAGGGCTTTTGCCTTGAAGCCTGTCCCCCTTGTCCCATTCTCGACTACAGAATATCAACATGGGCCACTTAAAGTAGTGGAATTCAATGCCTTCAAGAGATGATGACATTGAAGTCCAGGGATTGGAAAGGCCCGCTGAAGGTCATACAAGGAGTTGTCAGCAAATCAGGTCTACTGAAGTTTTGCCAGCTGCCCACTGTTCCAAAATGCCCGATGATGCAGGCATAGGGTCTTTAGTCTGGTTCTCCCTTGAGTATTTGAGAATAATTCTTGGTTTCCCTATCCCTGCGGAATTGAGTATATAGATGTGCAAAGATCACAGCACTAGCACAATATGTGGGTGGCATTTCACCCGTTTCCTGGCACTGCTGCTATAAAGTATATTTTGGAAACCGATTATTTTTTCCTCCTTGCAGTTTCAAAAGACTGATATTTTCTTTTTGAGATTTCTCAGGACCCCCACACACACTGTCCTTCACTCCCCCTTCTAGGCCCCACCCCCTCCAGGCTGCCACCTGCCCCCACTGCCACCTGTTTTTCCATAGTCTCCACCTCCAAAATCTATATTGGTGATACTGCGTCATTGGTCACCAGCCATAAACCAAACCTGGGGTTGTCTCCTCTTTCCTCTGCCCCATCACAGGCAGGGAGGGCAGGCAGGGGGAGGAGGGACTTCAGCAACTTAATCCAGCCCTAGTACCCTACTGAGAACCATCCCAGGAGCCTGACCTACTACTAAAGGACTGCAGCATGCTTAGCAAGTACAGTTGCTGACAAGCCCCAAGGTCTCTGAGAAGGAAAAAGACCCACATATGCACAGTTTAAGTTTTGTTCTGTATACTTTTTTAAAATGTGATCCTGATGAGTGGGAAAAAAGGGAAAGAGGCTATAGGATACCTTTTAAGACATAATGGCTCAAACATGCAACCCTCAAAAAGGGACTAGGGGGAACCAATTAACCCCTGCCTGGCCTAGTAGGCTGCCAAGTAACTCTAATGAGATCAAGGACATGAAGGATTATTTATGAATAAACCCACCAGGAGAGGTTCAGTATCACACTAGGAAGTCTTTCCCCATCAAAAAACAGCTGTGTCTATTAGAATTAGAAGACTTTTCCTTAAACGGAACCCAAATCCACGTCCTTGTCCTGGAGCTGGCCTTCATGATCTTCCCAAGGGAACAGTGCCAGCCCTCCCCATTCCCCCAGGATCCTCCTTCTCCCCTGTTCTTATCCAGGCCAAATCTCCCCAGTTTCTTATTCTGTTTGTCATGTGACATGGTTGCAAGGCTCCTGTCCATATCTAACTGCTCTTCTTTGAACTTGCTCCAAGTTGGGACTACTCAGTGACCTGGCCAAAAGAGGAGTTCCAGCTGTGCCTCTGTAAATATAGTCCTGGATGGCTGACTTTCCCTCTTTTGGAAGCCCACGTCACACTCATGTTACACAGAAACAGAGCCATTAATACACACACATATATACATTCCCACACCCGCACATGCATAGACAAAGTCACAAATGAGCACATGTACACACACACTTGACATGTATCACATACTTTCAGCACACAACACAATATACCCATTTAGCTCATGCATACACCGCACACAAATCCCATGTACATGCCACAGAGTTCACACAGCTAGTTTAATTATATTGGAAGTATTTTCAACTGAAGCTACTCCTTTCTTTTATTTTTTTAATTCTTATTTTTAAAAAATATATTTTATTGATTTTTTACAGAGAGGAAGAGAGGGATAGAGAGTTAGAAACATAGATGAGAGAGAATCATCAATCAGCTGCCTCTTGCACATCCGCTACTGGGGATGTGCCCGCAACCAAGGTACATGCCCTTGACCGGAATTGAACCTGGGACCTTTCAGTCCAGAGGCTGATGCTCTATCCACTGAGCCAAACCCGGTTTTGGCCTTTCTTTTATTTTTAAAGTAAACCCAAGTTCTCTTCAGTTGTCATTCTGTATTTAGTTGGTGTTTGGACCAATCACAAGACCTTATATTTCTATTTCATTTCCACTCTGATGGGACCTATCCTCCCCACATACGCCAGTGGCACACCACTGCCTATACCAGCTCTTTTACTCATACAATAGCACCTAATATATGATTCTGGGCCTTAGCTTCATTCCTTTCCATGTATGATCTCACTTAAGTCACACAATATCATTTTGAAATAATTAGTATTTTGGCACAGTTTTTTTGACCACATAAGAACACATTCATTGTACTCCCCCTAATAAATACTGTGCAACATGAAATAATAACTTTGTGAGCAATTATTGATATTCTTTAGGGCTATAATTGCCATTGGTGCCTCTCTTCGAATGCCTTCCAAAAATCTTCAGAAGTCAGAGGTAGGGAGAAGTAGCTGGCTACTAACTGAGAAGAGTGGAGGAGGTATTCTAAATGTTATATTACTGACATCCCCTTCCTTGGAGATGGTTCATACATCAGAGCAATCTTTTGAGGGTGACAATGGGCAATGGATGAATATATGAAAACATTTGGTAGAGGCATCATTGAACCCTGGGAAGAATGGAGGCCCCAAATGTTCTTATTTCTTAGGGAAAGGGACAGCATGATTGACCCACTTGAAAATTCTCTCCCCAGTTCACTCTTGGCATCGGATTTGGCCTCAGACAATTGGATTTCTGTAAAGCAGCCAACACTCTAAAGCTGAAGAGACCCTTGAGCCCACTTTATATACAAATTTATCTTTTCTTGGAGATGGGATCTAATCGATTTGCTGAGGCCAGGTTTGGTTGAGCTGCAACAGGATTATTTTCCAGAGCTGAAGTGAGTTTGCCAATGAGACACTCCACTCACTTGTTATGGTATCAGATAAGCACCCCCATTCACCAGTGGCAGGACTTTCTAAATTTCCTTTGTAAATCACTTGTTTGCACCTCAACTAAACATTTTGCCATAGTGGGGGGTGGGGAGAGGAGTAACACTGTAGAGTTAAAGTTTATAGGTTATCCCACACTTTACCCACCATGAGGATAAAATACAGAATCTGATGAAAACTGGCAAAAGATAGTACTCTTTCAAATGTATTATTAAGAGCTGATATTCATCACACTAAATATCAAATGATGGAAAGCATATTGGGTATTGACAGAGCAGGACACCAAGTCCTGGAAGCTGTTTATGGCAACATCATCCCTTTTTTCACACTTATCTACTAAGACAACCTCAACGTCCAACAATAATGGAATAGATAAATAAACTATATGACATATCTACAGCTATAACATTATGTTTATGAGAGTTATGTAGCAATGTGGAAGACAGTATGATTATAACTGTCAAAAAGCTTTTCTGAAACATGAAGAAATTTCAGCAACAAGGTAAATAGAGTAAGAGATTCTGTTATGTTGGTGGAACAATAGTGATTTTTTTTCTGTTTCTTTAATGCTCTATCAGGTTTGTTGTTAAATCACTCTAATAATTATACAAGCTTTTGAAACATCTAATTGAAGGCCTATTGCAATCCATGCAATAATCTAGAATCCCACTGTGTGCAACCTATTATAATATACAGGATTTTTTTCTTCAGATTGTAAATTAAATGCATTGGCTAGATTAGGTCAGCCATGTGTGATCTTCCCAATTATCCCTAAAGTGTTCTCTAGCACTAGGAAGGAAGTAGAAGATGGGTTTGAATCCCAGGCCTTAATTTATAGTGTTGCTGTGAGCAAGTTATTCAATCTCTTTTCAAACAAATAGTGCTGACATTTCCAGACTATAAACATTATTATTATTAGTGATAACATTATATTAAGTGCATTCAATGGCTCTGGTATCAAAAGATGCATCTTATTCCTTCTCCAAGTATTTACTATAAATCAGTCACTTTACATAAAAACCTCATTTACCTTGCCTTTTGTTACAGCTCTCTGGCATTATCTTTATTTTATAGAGAAAGCTGAGAGGTTTAGTAACTTGCTCACTGCCACACAGTGACTGAGCAAGGATTACAACTTCTTTTGCTCTGATTTCAAAGCTTGAATGAGATTAAAATAGATTACATTTCCAAAGCTCCTAGCATTATGCTGATATGCAGTAAAAATTTAGTAGGTGGTCAATCGGATGTTGATGGTGGTCCCTTGCCCAGAATCCAATTTTGGTTTTTAGTGCTATTTGATTACTTATAGATTCCTTTTTATGAAAAGGTGCACATTTAAGCTGGAAGATACAATGCAGATACCACACATGTCCTCATCACTGGGGCTCTGAGTCACTAAGAAGTGATTTCTGTTTCCTTCTGGCAGTATCATTTGTTCTCACATGTATCAGCAGAGTAGGTAGATGGCATGTTTAATGAGCCTTGGCAGCTACTGTCACATTTCAGATACACCTCTTGAAATCCATACAGCTTCCTCAAGATGGGAACCCAACACCCAGCAACCAGTAGATCCCTGTGCTCAGGGAAGCTTCTTAAATGGCGGGGGCCTATCCGTAACCCCTACTCCAACTATTATTGACCCTTAATTGATACTCCTCCTACTTTCCTCCTCAAAGTGGAGGCTACAGGGCTTCCTCAGAAGCAGACATGGATAGGAGCTGGAGAAGTTTTTTTTTTT